ATTTTTTCAGAATCCAGAGACCACAGCATCACAAGTTTAGAATGTTCCAGACCAAGACATTTTTGCATTTGATATGCCCCTTGTCCTGCCGGATCCCCGGTAACGGCGGCATCTGCGGAAAGCCGACGTCGTCGTTGTAGCAGTCGGCAAACGTGTTGTTTCGTAAATTTTCTGGGTCGTCATGACCGTCCTTCATGAAATCGGTCCAACAAAAACTCGCGTTAGACATCTTCTGCCGGTGGAGGTCCTTTCTCTTGAACAAAAATTCCGCGAATCGGTACAGACTGGCAACCTCGGAAAAGGTGTCGCCGTTAAAGAACGTGCGGAAGGCAACCATCCACTCGGCGGTTTGTAACCGCGATTGTCGGTGCCTTTCGCCTAATTCGGTGAGTCTTGGAAGGGGCTTGTTGTCGCCGACGTCTAGGTGGGAAGTAGGGGCCCTCGTCGTGCCATCTTTACCTCCACCCCCGACGTCTTCCCACTTCGACCTGTTCTCATTCAACAGCTTCAACAGCTCCGCGCCGCTGGCTTGGTGCGTTTGCTTCAAGTTTATGCAATACAAATTTACACCTGTACATGTACAAAATAATGCCTCACAATAAATTCCACCAACTTGTTCGACCATGCCACTTGTCATGCTGAATAGCATTGACAGAAAGTTTGTCATGCAAAAACCACATTCTGGTGATTTGTACGTCTTTAATACAGGGAAAAAAAAATTTACTGCGGATAAAGTTCGGCGGGTAGATTTCCTTCCGCTCCCACTGCTCGTCATCTTGATCCAGGATTTGGGACGAGTTCACCATCTCGGGGTCGTTTGCGGATTCGTAGAAGCCGATACAAGCGGCGAGCAAGATCATTTCTTCCACGAAGCCACAGATGATTCCCGTCCACATCATTTTCGCGGTTAGCAGACTGCACTGCAACCCCAAACACGTTGCCCCCATCGCGGTGATGTCGTTTCCTTTCAAAAACCCGTTCTTCTTATCAAGTGCAAAAGTGTCTGGGTCTGGAAGATTGCAGGAGTTTGCCATGCATCTCCTGGATCACACAAGTGGTCTCTAATGCACGCAAAAGCATTACAGGTTTTGCGCAGGCCTCCTGATGTCTATCCCGCATGAGAAATTTTTCCCTATATGCGTAGCAAGAAATGGGAAGCTTTTGGTGCTTATGCAATACAAATTTTTGCCTATTCCAGAATTCGCATGACAAGTTCCAACTCGTGTTCCAGATCCAGACATATTTGCATTTGATACTTCTGTAGCCAATCCGTCGCGGAAGACACCTCGTTCGTCTGTGGCGGTATCCTGTGCAAAAGTATCGTACTCGTAGTAATCGCAGTCATGCATTACAAATTTCCTTCTTAACCTAAATCAGCATTACAAATTCCATTTTTCATGCTGAGGAAATTTGTCATGCGATTTCTACTAGTACGATGCTTTTGCATTTCATAGGCTGATATCAGCTGGAAATATCTCATCTGGGTCTTCTGGGAACATCAAAGAAGAACTTGTATTGCTTGGCTGGCACAACTCCTGTCCAATCTGTGTTGCATGACCGACATTTTCAACATAGCAGCTTGTTCAGTTGTCATGCAAAAACGCAGTTTGTAGTCGCAGCTGCGCATGCACCTAGGGTCTACTTCGAAACTTGTCATGCTCAGCTGCACTTGCAAGTGCTGCTCTCATCATGCATGATTCAGCATCACAAGTTCCCAGATCTTCTCCGAGATGTTGCGGCCACATGTGCACTTCATAGCGGGCAGGGAAGCATGTGCAGGAACTTCTCGATCCGAAAGAGACTGCCGGCGGATTTGCCACCAACCACGATCTCCTGCTGGTCTTTCGTTTCTCCATCCATCAGCCGCCATTTTTCGATTCGGTTGTCCCAACCCCATAATATTCTGTGCAAAAGTTGTATCGTACTCGCAGTAATTGCAATTATGCATATACAAATGTCAATCCCAAGCTAAAACAGCATGACAAATTCCATTGGTCATGCTGAGGTAATTTGTAAATGCAATTACTACCAGATACGATGCTTTTGCAACTCATACATAAGGGTTTTTGACTATTCACGTCGTTCCACCCCGGCATCACTGAATACTTCTCTCGTAACTTCGCGACCGTGAAAGCGTATCCTGTGCAAAAGTATTGTACTCGTACTAATTGCAGTCTTGCATGACAGATCCGCTTTGCTACCTGAACCTGCATGACAAGTTTCATTTTTCTTTCTGGGAAAATTTGTCATGCGACTTATACTAATACGGTACTTTTGCAATGCATAATGCGCAACGCAACACCGTTTTCTTGATATCTTCCCGGGGGACGGCGGATGTGCCAAAATCCGACAACCGCGTCCAAATGTGCCGGGAAAACATCCGTAACGCCAGCCCCTCTCGCACCCGCCCGGTCCGTCCCTGTCGTTGAATCACGGAGGCCTGACTGGACCAGGAATAGATCAGTTGTTCGGTAGAAGTCCGTGGATCAAATTTCGGGAATTTTTCCATTCCGTAGTCAATCACCACCCCGACGTCCGGAATCGTGATGCCAGACTCCGCAATATTCGTCGCCAGAACGATCGCCCGGCCAGGTTCACGCGAGCTGTTTCCATTCTTGTCCTCGCCCGTAATGTGCTCGTTCATCCCGTGCTTCCGTTCTTCGTGCTGGGAGTGCAGCCAGAAGATTTTGATGTTCCACAGCTTCATGTCCTCCTCGTGAATCACGCGCTTGATCGACTCTTCCAGATCCCGGATTTCCACGATACCGGGAAGGAAAACCAACGTGGTCCGTCCAAACTTCTCCTGGTTTTTCGCATTTTGTTTGGCCAGCTGTTGCTGCCACCGCTGCTGGTGTAGTTGAAGTCCACCTGCTCCGAAGCGATTTTGTTGACCTCGCAGTGCTCTCGACGTCCCGCCTCTCTTTATCGCTTTCGTTTGTGGGAGCTGGTTTTTCTCCTCGGCTTCCAGAGCAGCTTGAAGAAGGCTTTTACGGCGTAAATCATCCACCTCATCGTCACCATCGTCCCCATAGTAATCCGGGGCGGCGTAGCTTCCGGGCACCATGATCTCTTTCAGAATTCTCGCCGTGTATGCGTGAATTTTCTTCGCGAGTTATCCTGTGGAAAAACGTCCCCACGCACGACCCCAGAGTTGTCATGCATAATCTGCAAGCTGAGAATGTTTCTCATGCGGAGCCCCATGAGAAGCATTTTCCAGTCGTGGCGTGACATTTGTCATGCGCCAATGAGAATGATATACAAGATCTTTGATGCTGCTGAACTACCTCAAACAGTACTACACTGCGATTCCAAATTTGTCATGCACCACAGGCAAAACTCGTGGACTTGTCTAGCCGATTCCCCATCTTGACTATGGGGTCGTGGGGACGTTTTTACATAGGATACGAGTTGCGCCAAGTCGTTGCTGGCATGAACCTTGTCGGGGTAGATTTTCCCCGTCCGGGGGTCTTCTAGGTTCATGTTGCGTTTCATCAGGTCGTCATATTCCGCAAGGTCGCGTTCGGAAGAATACTGCTCGGAAAAACAGTGGAAAAAGGGCGGCCTCACCTCGTCCAGAAACAATTTGGTGATGTTGTGCGGCGTGTCGTTCAGAATCTCCAGGCGCGGAATCGTTTTCGTGTAGTCCCTATCAAATGTAAAAATGTCTGGGTCTGGAAGGTTACCAGGTTTGTCATGCATATTTTGCATGACTCAGGATGTCTGTAATGCATGATCTAGCATCACATATTTCTAGAGGCGTTCCTGATGCCTATCCCGCATGACAAATGCCCTCCCCGCGTAGCACAAACTGGGCGCCTCTTGCTGGTCATGCAATACAGATTTTTTTAGAGTCCAAAGTTAGCATCACAAGTTGCATTCTTCCAGACCCAGACATTTTTACATTTGATAGTCACCCTGGCACCCATTGAAATAAGATTCGATGATATCCAAGAAAAAAACTGTGTTCGTGCAGCTAAGTACTATCTTTGGCTGACTGCATCACAAATTTGGTCCTCTACATGACAGCGAAAACCTGCCATGCGTGGCTTGTAAGGGAAGCACACACATGAAAAGAGAACCTCATGGCTGTCTGGCATGACAGGTGCAACACTGTTGCATGTTATGCATTACAGAGAAGTTACACTATACACAGTTTTTTTCTTGCATAGATGAAACCTTTCTCCAAAGTGGCGGACATGATGATGACCTTCGTTCTATCCTGAGCAAAAACGCCCCCGCCTCATAGTCAAGTTCTTGATAAATCTGCAACACAAATCGCCAAGTTTTGGGAGTTGTGCATGACAAGTTTTCGTCTGATGTAGTGTAGTGGTGCTTAGCAAGAAGGGAAGCCGCATGGGAAAGCCAATTTCTTATCCTGTTTACAGCATTTCAAATGCCAAAACACGACGTGGAAATCATGCCTCTCATGGAGATGCGCATTACAAATGTTCCTGTCATTGCACAGTTGCATTACAACTCTGCGGTGGGGACTACGTGCTTGCTGAGGATACGTTCTCGATTGGAAATCCGGCTGTGCAAGAAGGACTTTCAACACCATGCAGAGAAAATCCACATCCACCGACCGGTCGTGCATCTCGTCTAAGATTAGATGTGTAATGTCCCCGAGCTTTTCCGGACTGTGCATCAAGACCTGAAGCAAAAACGTGCTCGTCATAAAGCACACCTCGGCTTCCATCTTGTTGTCCTTCGCCTCCCGGTATGCAGTGCAAAAGCATGACCGCACTCGTAGTCGTACCTAGTAAATAAAATCGCGGCACAGCACGACAGATTCGGTTTCTTTTGCCTGAGCTAGCATTACAAGTTTCGTCTTTTCTTCTGAAAAGATTTGTAATGCGATTTCGGCTTGGTGTGATGCTTTTGCAATGTGCTTTTGCAATGCATAGCCGGCCGACCCTGTACCCAATGCGGTCTCCCATCTGCTGGATCGGAAACATTTTCTCCGCGAGCTCCAGGTCGTTGCTCTTCTTCAAAAAGGCATCCATCTTTTTCCGCGTCGCATCGTTTTGCATCTTCAGCAGACTTTCTGCCAGCGTTTTCGCACCTAAACGCTTGGGCTGCGTCAAAATGATCCGCGGTTTTCTTAACCTGAGTAAATCCTGCTGCATTTCCGGTTTTTGCAGTTCCGTTTCCATCACCGTCCGCATCTCGTCGGCGATGTACAGGGTATGAACTGCAAAAGTATCGCATTGCTGCTATGCATCACAATATCTCTTTCCTAAAGGTAAAACCGCATTACAAATTTCACTTGCAATGCTAAGCTAAATTGTCATGCGATTTATACTTAGAAATACGATACTTTTGTAATGCATAGAGGGGGATCTGCGTCGATTTCCCCGTGCCAGTTCTCCCGTCCACGAGAATTATCCGATTGTCTTCCAACAAATCCAAGAACACCCTTCGGTACTTCAAAATCGGAAGTGGGATGTAAGCGGAATCTTGCAGTTGGCTGTTGATTTTCTGTTTATTCGCTTGGCTGCTCGCTTCCTGGTGCGTGTAGCCCATTTCCACGAACTTCTTCACTTGGTATTCTTCCGCTTTTTTCTTCCCGTGCCACTGGGAACAGAGGTATTCCTCTTCGAACAGGATATCCACAGTAAATTTCCTGTACATGTACCATATATCGGTTTCTGCATGACAAAGTGACTTCTCTTTAACTCTATTCAGCATGACACGTAGCATGCTCCAAGTAGTTGGTGAACAAATTTGTGATGCATTTTGTACATGGAAAGCAAATTTGTCTTGCATAAAGGACTTCCTTGATCAACAAGCAGTTCCGAATATCAAGCAAAAAAGTGTTAACGTTAACGGTTTTCATGGATTGGAAATATGCATGACAAATGTTGCCTAGCATGCATGCTATGCATGACAAATTTGCGCACGTTTTGTGATGCATTACTGCATCACAAATTCCGTTAACGTTAACACTTTTTCCTGTGATACCGGACGAGTAAGTCCGGCGAGAAAGACTTCTGCAACACAATTTCGTCGTTCTGGACCCACTTCAATTCCGGCTCGTGTCCAAAGCTCTGGTTGTTCGGGCCGCCGTTGAAGAAGACCTTCTTGTTGTAAAAGAAATCTTCCTCGTCCTCCTCCTCGTCGCCGGTCATGTCCATCAAAAAGGCGGCCAAAGAATTCGGGTCTCTTATCCTGAGCAAAAACATCCCCGCCCCGTAGTCAAGATGGGAAACCTGCTAGACAAATCACCCAGCTTTGGTTGTTGCGCATCACAAGTTTCTTGGCCTCGTAGTGTAGTCCTGTTTAGCTTCTTTAGCAGCATCACAGATCTAGCCTACTATGCTGATTGGACCATTACAAACTCCAGAAGACGAGTGGCAAACGCTTGTCATAGGGCTGCTCAGCATGAGAAACATTTTGAGCATGCAGATTTGCAAGACAACTATGGGGTGAAGGCGTTTTTACATAGGATGTCCCTGTCTTTGTTGTTCGGGTACCACGTCTCAAAAAACCGCGCCCACGGGTTTGCGTCCCAACTTCCGTCATCCTGTGCAAAAGTATCGTACTCGTACTAATCGCATTCATGCATCACAAACTTCTTTCGAAAGTTAAATCCGCATTACAAATTCTATTTCTCATGCTCAGGAAATTTGTCATGTGAATCGGTTCGAGAGTGTACCCCAGTTCACGAACTAGTTCGTGAAGGTTCCGGGCATACGAAAAAGAGCAGAACCATACGTATTACTCGTAGCAAATCCCAAAAAAAAGAGCGGGAAAAGGTTGAAAGTAATCTCGATGAGCGGCAGAGCATATCTTGCGGGCACCATATGGCGCAAAAAGTATGCGCAATGGAGAAGGTCGGGGCAACACTAACTGCGCAGAAACAGTGCTGCGCCGACGTGTGCAGGCGGAGCGCCGAAATGAGAAAAAACGAAGTGCCTGAGGTGGGCCAAAACACCGGGACGCGGCGCGCGATGAAAGAAGCGGAAGGGCCACACGACAGGCGCAAGCGACTCTCTTGGCGCGCGCGCGCGCGATTTTGGTTTGTGAGGCACGAAGCGCTGCGCGACTATTGGTTACGGTGGGACGGCTGGCGGCCACACGATTTAGGAACGATACTTCCGATGAATGGGCGCGCGAAGACTGAAGCCGTGCGCGTGGCGCTGGTTTCAAACAGAAAGCAGGCGAACGCTAGGACAGAGCGCAGTCGTGGCTGCTTTTTTCTGTAGTGAAGACAGTAGATGTGAGGCCTGTGGTGCCCATCACGGTGCGCGACGCTGTGCCGCAGCACCTACCATCTAAAACGACGGCGCTGCGGCATTGCAGGTACAGACCCGAACCGGGGGTCAGGTCCTACCCGTCCCCCCGGATCGACTAAGTACCACTGAGATCAGGAGCGTACCTTTGGGTCAGGAGCGGCCCCCTACTTTTTCCTGCATCCGCATATTTTTTTGGCGCCGAGCATATCAAATGCCCTGTTTGTTCTAGGATATTTAGGCCCCGGGGCGTTATTGAACTGGTAGGTACATTGTTGAACCGCGGGACCAGTTGAACTGATACACATGCGATTTGTACTAGTACGATGCTTTTGCATTTGATATCCGTCTCTTGCCTTCTCCCGCCACTTGCTATCGGGAAGGATGTCTTGCAGTTCTTTCAAAGCAGTTTCCCAAGATATAACAGTGCACAACTCCCCCTCACCCTCATTTGTATAGCATGAACAGCAATACAAGCATCAGCAAGAGTGCCGGTTTTGCATGACAAATTTCCACTGGATTGTAGTGCTATTTGGCCTACCAGCACTTGTCATGCAAACAGTGCCAAGAACCAAAGGGTGAGTTAGGTACTTTGCATGACAAATGAGGGGGAAGGGGAGTTGTGCACTGGCATACAAGACTCGTGCTTCTCCAACACGGACAATAAGGTCGCGTACCTTTCCGTATCCGCGGATTCCTTGTGATATCCTGCGCAAAAGTATCGTACTCGTACTAATTGCACTCATGCATGACAAATCTTGTGTCTTAGCCAAATCAGCATTACAAATTCTATTTTTTCTTCTGGAAAAATTTGTATTGCGGTTTACACTAGTACGATACTTTTGCAATGCATATGTGACCACCACTGCTTGGGTTCAGCGAAGCCCGGTAATTCGCATTGGATTGAGCGACACCCAGCTTCGCGGCTAGAGATGAGTAAATGTCGGGTAAAGGGCCAGCAGTGCGGTCAATGGTCGGAATGTTGCTGTTTGTTTGCTGTTGTTGCACAAGCGCTAATGCAGCGGCGATACCACCAGTAGCAGTACCTTCTTGATGTTCTGGAAGATGAAGACGATTCTGGTCTTCAACAGCAAGCGCACCTGTTCCTTCGCCATACAGATCTCCTTCTGGAACCGCCATATCGTGCGGATTCAGCAAATATGCTGTGCAAAAGTATCGTACTCGTAGTAATCGCATGTATGCATGACAAATCTCTTTTCCAACTCCAAGGTAAATCAGCATGAGAAGTTCCATTTGTCAACACGCTGAGCAAATTTGTGATGCGATTACTACTAGTACGATAGTACTTTTGCAATTCATAGCAAATCCACCCCGGTCGGAAGGCGTTGCTCCATAAAGCACCAGCGTTTTTCCAAATCCTCCCGCAAATCCTCGTCGTAGCCGCACACGTCTGCAAATCGTTCCGCCTGTTCCGCAGCCGCGTCGAAAATATCTTTTGTCGTAACGTCCTTTGGCGGCATATGCAATACAAATTTCCCGTACATGTACAATATGCATCACAAATTTCACCAATAATTTGGAGTGCGCCACTTGTCATGCTAAACCAGGATCGAAGCCCAGTTTTGTCATGCAGAGCCCGCGTTTGTACGTCGTGTACGGGGAAAAATTTACTGCGGATATGGATCCTCTCTTCGAAACGCCATGATTTCGAACCAGCCCCCCTATCCTGTGCAAAAGTATCGTAATCGTAATATGGCAGTCATGAAATACAAATTTTTTTCTATAAGGTACATCCCCATTACAGATTTCATTTCTCATGCTGAGGCAAAATTTGTAATGCATTTATGCGAGTACGATACTTTTGCAGTTCATACCCCCCTCTGCGTGACGAAATCCGTGCCCTGGAAGCAGTAGTCGCACACATAGCTGTCCTGGATCGCCCGCGCGCGGTCCGCACGACCCGTTGTCCCATGAAAAAAGTGTTTCACTGTCATGACTTTGCAAGATCTGCATCACAAGTTTGTTTACACATGACACTGAAAATTTGTCATGCGCGCTTCCAACGGGAAAACAAAACACGCTTGAATAAAATTCAATGTATTGCAGGCGTAGCAAGACAAGTAGTTCTGTGTTCCATTTTCTGCATCACAAGTTCACAGTGAAACAGTTTTCTCTTGCGATACCCGTGTATTTGCGATTACTGTCGTTGGGGTTGGCTAGGTGATGGCTCCGGTCGTACTTGTGCACGGCTTCGTCCCACATAGCTAGGCGTTTCTCATAGTCGGCTTCTGCGGCTGTCAAGCCGTTTTCGTCCTCGTATTCGGAAGGTTATGAGAGTGCACAACTCCCCCTTGCCCCCCTCATTTGTCATGCAAAACCGCAAATTCGTTTGTTGCCCGGTGGCACTGTTTGCATGACAAATTTCTAAAGGCCCAACAGTACCACCTTTGGCCGGTGAACTTGTCATCCACAGGCCCCAGGAGTGCTGGCGTTTGTATTGCTATTGCTGTTCATGCCATACAAATGAGGGGGAGGGGGAGTTGTGAACTGTCATAAAGATTCGGAATCTTCCAGTTGTGTTTTGTCCTCCCCGTCGGCGCTGCTCGGAAGATCATCGTCATCATCTTCTGGAGCTGGAGCTGCATCCCCAGCATCCTTTTGCTCTTTATTAACTTTATCCCTTTTCTTCAGAGCCTCTTGCAACATTCTACTCGGATCCACTTCTTTATGGCGTTCTCAACTGTTACATTCTCAACCGTTACATGGATTTGTAATGCAAGAACAGCAACAGTGAAAGTGGCAAAATTGCAGCTTTCGCATTACATACAGATTTTCCACAGATGATCATGCTGTTTCGCCCTTCAAAAATTTGTCATGCTAAGCACCTTGATCAAGTGGAGGCTGATGGCAGTTTTGCATGACAAATCCGTGTTACAGCTGAGGATGTAACAGCTGAGAATGCCATATTCTTCATCCCGAGCTTTTTCCAACGGTTCGGGCAGCAAAGACGGGTTTCCAGATGTGGGCGAGACCGGATGCGTCGCAGCGTCATCTTCTGCATCTTGTCCTTCGTCCGGATCCGGCTTGGGCACAGCGGCAACAGCAACAACAGCTTTGGCGACGGTACCTTTCGGTCCTCGAGCACCAACGTGGTCTTTCTTTCGTTTATTCCGGCGATCGGTAAAAATATCTTGATTTTCTTCATCACTACGACCACTGTCACTTTTATTACCCCCGCCGCCGCGG